GCAACAGGTTTGTCACTGTAGGTAACACAGAACATGTTACCTGTTTTCATAGTAAAAATTTGCTAACGCAGGGTTTGCATGAGATGAAATAGTGTAATTTGGTATCAGGTGTTCAGCTCGCTTTAGAGGCGGAGGCTGCAAATAACACCTGATGGACTGTTTTAAAACCTCTACATACTGACTTTTTATTATTTTTTTTTAAATTGACTCCAGCAAGGCTGCCCCCACAGGAGCTCTTCAGCGTCGTTTGTCCTCAGCAGTAGGTGCAGCACAGCCTGTCACAGCTGTCCCCAGTGCTCTCGTGCCCAGCCACGGCTGCCTAGTGAGCAGCCCGACTGCCCAGCAGCTGGGGTGAGGCCACCAACACCCACCTGTACCGCAAAGGCAACTTGCCCGCACCATTTTGTTGCCCAGGCAGCCAGGGGAAGCTGTAGGTCAGACACCTCCCTCTGAAGCTACGCCTCCACTGGGGCCAGGAGAGCAAAGCCTGTAACAGGAGGAGCCCCAGGCAGGTACCTAAATTTAGACACAGCTTGGCGCTGAATTTCATCCCCTGTGTGAAACGCTCCCCCTGCACCGCCAGCACCCTTGGTTATAAAGCCGTACCAGAGTTTCTTCAATTCCCACACCACCAGGAGCAAGCAGCACTGCCACCACAAGCAACAGGCGTCTGCCCCGCTGGAAGGCAGGGAGAGAAGTGTGGTTGCGCTGGGCAAGGTGGCAGGGCTCACCCCGAGTCTATATTTGTCTTTTCCAGACCTCCGGGACACCTACGCGCTTACTTTCAGCAACAGCACCCGAAAAGCTTACCAAAAGGAACAAAGGAGACGAGCTTGTGCACTGTGAAAAATGCTTTAATGGTGCCTGTACAGCATCTGAAGTGACTTTGAAACAGGAAGAACAACACAACACAAACAGAGAAGTTTTGAATGAAAGAGTTCATACAGCTTTAAACAAAATTTACAGGTGTTCATCTGCATAGCTTTTACTCTGCCTCCTCCTCAGCCTCCTCCTCAAACTCCCCCTCCTCCTCAGCTGTAGCATCCTGGTACTGCTGATACTCAGACACCAGGTCGTTCATGTTGCTCTCAGCCTCTGTGAACTCCATCTCGTCCATGCCCTCGCCAGTGTACCAGTGCAGGAAAGCCTTTCGGCGGAACATGGCAGTGAACTGCTCAGAAATGCGTTTGAACAGCTCCTGGATGGCTGTGCTGTTACCAATGAAGGTGGCAGACATTTTCAGGCCACGAGGTGGAATGTCACAGACCGCTGTTTTAACATTATTAGGAATCCATTCGACAAAATAGCTGCTATTTTTGTTCTGAACGTTCAGCATTTGCTCATCGACTTCTTTCATTGACATACGGCCTCTAAAAACAGCAGCTACGGTCAGATAGCGGCCGTGACGTGGGTCACACGCAGCCATCATATTCTTTGCATCAAACATCTGCTGCGTTAGCTCTGGCACAGTTAAAGCACGGTACTGCTGGCTCCCACGGCTCGTGAGCGGGGCAAAACCAGGCATAAAAAAGTGCAAACGGGGAAAGGGAACCATGTTCACTGCCAGCTTCCGCAGGTCGGCGTTAAGCTGGCCCGGGAACCGCAGGCAGGTGGTGACACCGCTCATGGTTGCTGACACCAAATGGTTCAGATCACCGTATGTTGGAGTAGTTAACTTCAGTGTTCTGAAGCATATGTCATAGAGGGCTTCATTATCAATACAGTATGTTTCATCCGTGTTCTCCACAAGCTGGTGCACTGAGAGTGTGGCATTGTAGGGCTCTACTACGGTATCTGACACTTTAGGGGAGGGTACAACACTGAAAGTATTCATAATTCGGTCAGGGTACTCTTCACGAATTTTGCTGATGAGGAGGGTACCCATGCCAGAGCCTGTGCCGCCACCGAGAGAGTGAGTAAGCTGAAAGCCCTGGAGACAATCACAGCTTTCTGCCTCCTTTCTTACAACATCTAACACAGAATCAACTAATTCAGCACCTTCCGTATAATGGCCCTTTGCCCAGTTGTTTCCTGCTCCGCTCTGACCTGGAAGAGAGCCATTTTCGTATTAGATTACGGTCACTGCTTCCTGCTTATTGCTCGCAAGCAAAGCTCAGGAGCATCAGGCTACAGAGAAACCCCACAAAAGCTTTCATTTTATCGAGCGCAGAGCTGTGGTTTCACGTAAGCACCTCTGAAATGGCTCGGCAGACACACGGGAAACATCCATTATCAATGATACAGCAGCCATTTAATCTCTGCTGATAGCACGGAGGAGGTAAT